TTTTTTTTTTGCCTTACTTGATTGATTGACCACCAATTAGGTAATTAGCATTGTGTGTTTGATAGGTTTTAGTTTTGTTTGAGGACAAACAAAGAATCAAGTTTGGAGGTGTAATAAGTATAGTTTCTACACTCATTCGAGATCCTAAATATGATATTTTACTTTTCTTTGAATAAAATAATACCTAATTTGTGTAATATTTCATTTCGTAGGTAAAACTCAATGTTTGATGAAAAATTGGAGAAAAGAATGCAAAGATAGCGAGAAATTGCTCCATTGTATCAAATACAAAGTTCGAGAACTGAAATGTAAATATTCAAATTTTACGTCGAACCTTGCGATGAAGATTTGAGAGTGTTAAACATCAATTGGATGAGGAAAGAAGCTAAAGTGATGAATTATAGTCCAAGTATTATCACATATCAACTTCCAGTAGAAAAAGTTATGCTTCGGATTTTCAGGCTCACATTGAGACTCAGTTTTGGTATAGAACTATTTCGAATTGGAAAAATAATATATCTGTAAGAATTGTAGCACTTCAAGTTAGAGTTCTAATGCATTTTGAATCACCTCAATTGAATATCGGAAGAGAAAGTTATGATAAAAATACTGAGAGCCGTCAACTGCCAAAAATCAGCCCTAAGGCGCACGCCCTCGCTTGCAAGCAAGGGGCGCACCTCACTTCAAATTGGCCTCGACTGAGGCCTACCTAAAGGTTAAGTGCCCTAGTTTCTACTAGGCGCGCACCTCAATCCAGGACGAGAAAAAAAGGGTTTGTTTCCTTATCTTGTTTTGGGAGTTTCTAGAGCTGATATAAAAGGTATTTTTCGGGTTTTTGAGGGGAGAGCCGTATTTTGAAGAAAAAAATGAGAGACCTCCATTGAACCTAAATTTCATCATATTCTACATATTGTGGAGGCGAAAAACAAGTCTATACATCAATTCAAGGCGAATCATACAAGGATTTTGAATATTCAAAGCCAGGTTTTAAGATTTGAGTCAAGAATGTGGATTTTTCCTATTTCTCCCATCTTTCTTATTTTCGGGTGATATTTTTCCAATTATTCTTGCATAATTTAATTATATGAATGTTAGGCTAAGTTTTTCATTGTATTGGATGAATGATGAACCCTATTGTTTGTTTATTTTAATTCAAGATAGTTTAGTGTTTCTTAACTTTTCTAGATTGTTTTTCCATCCCCATTGAACTATTTGATTGCTTGATCACAAATTAGATAGTAAGTTGCTTGTTATAGTGTAGGAATACACACAATAAATCTAGAACGTGGAAAAATCAACACATGGACAATAGGTATTAGGAATAATATCTATGACATGTGCAATCATGTGTGATAAATCTCGTGATTCAATGCATGTTTTTCATATGAATTCGGACTAGGAATAGGATCGGGTCGTGTTGAACATAGGTTTAATATATTTTGAAAAAGAATACTGAATAAAAGTGGATTATCGATTGTCTTGAATGCATGAATTTACTAGATTACGAATTAAGAATTGAATTAAATAGCAATAGAGAGATTCACGATTCCAATACAAACATTTAAATATTAGATAAGCACTTTATTTGCTTTGTTAGTTTAGGATTAGTATAGATTACATACAAATCATATCTTTTGATTTCGTTACACTTTGAATTTAATAGTGGCTATTGAACTAAAAATTAGACCTTATTTCTCGTGGGAACGATTTTGATTTATTAGTTTAGGATTAGAATAAATAATATACGAACCATCTCTTTTGATTTCATCGAACTTCGAATTTAATAGTAACTATTAAATTACAAATTATACCTTATTTCTCGTGGGAACGATACTCTTAATTCATAAATCTTATTACTTGTATAACGATCTCGTACGCGTGTATTGTGGCAAAGTAATGCCATCGAAGAAGAAACTTGGGAAAGAGAAGACGAAATGAAAGCTTAATACCCCGAACTCTTTGAAGAAGGCCATTTCGAGGACGAAATTTTTTTAAAGGGGGAAATTGTAACATCCCAAAATTTTACCATGTTTTTATTGTGATATACCTTTCATGTAGCCTAGTAAAAGTTATGTTAATGATAATATAACCTTATAAAAAGAATTTAATTAAGACTTTGATTAATTAAAAATAAATAACCATGTGAAGAAATTAAGAGGAATGAGATGGCTACCCTATAGATGCTACCTTGCCACACTAATTATTATAATGACAAATGACCTATTAGGGTAAAATGTGGCAAAGTAATAATTAGGGAAAATTAATTGTAATGACAAATGACCTGTTAAGGTAAAATGTGACAAAGTAATAATTAGGGAAAATTAATTTAATTATTATTTTAATTCTCAATCACTACTATAAATAGAAGAGAATGAGAGAAAAATCGAACATACAACAATTTGAAAACTAAAGACAAGTAAAGAAAGTATTTTTATTATCTTGCAACTTGAAGGTGAGTAATCTATGCCTATTTTTATTCCAAACATATTTATTACGATTATGTTCATTGAATTACTTCTTACCTTTTTTAAATTGATTATAGATTCAAGATTCTACACATTGACATTGTATTAGATATTGGTATTGCAGTGGATAATATTATTGATTATACACCAAATTGATGTAATTGACTAATGAGCTCATATTGTGTTATTCTCAATTTGCGCGCACAGGTATAATTGAACATCTGTAATTGGGTCCCATTATCTTCCTTATTTATTTCGGAGAGAAAGACATTTATGGTATAGATTACTTGCTGAATAAGTGTGTTATTATTTTTATTATTATTATTATTATTATTATTATTATTATTATTATTATTATTATTTTAGATGATCATCATTGAGTATATTGTCTTTATCTTGGGGTAATTGAGGATTTCAGAAGACTGACAATATTGCGTTTATATCAAGGAAGTTCATACATGGATGATATATCCAGAATTTCGAGGCTTCCACCACTTTTTGGGAGCCTGTTACTATATTGACTATTTCGAGGTCATTACTATGATATACTTATTTACAGAGAGTTTTTGAAGTCTTTAATATGTAGTGTAACTTTTGTCTAACAACTAGTCTCTAATGTACTTTTTGCTATATAACAAAGTATGTAAGGAAATGCTTAACTATCTTATAGCTAATGTTGCCTACCTATTCCATATCTTTCGATAGTTGGGATTGAAAAATATCAAAATATGTCAAACTAGTAATCTTAAAGATCAACCCCTACAAATTATCAGCAGTTGTTCCCTCTTTACAAAGCATTATAAATTTATGAAATTTATATATATAAGTTCAAAATAAATGATAAGATTGAGAACTGACAAATATTATCCTACAAAACATTATTTATATAGAATTAAGTCATATTTCAATATATTTGCAAACAATTATCCATGTTAGGTGGACTAAATAAGTGTGCAAAACGCACTTATCAGACGCTGATACCACTATTAAAGAAAATAGAACGCTAGTAACCAGAGCTTATAAATCTAATTTAAATTTCTACAACTCAAGATTTTACCAAAGGCATCTCAGACACTATCAGGTTAGACCTTAAATCATTGTATCCTTCGGTACAAAACAAATGACGTAATACTAATATTATCAAAATAGAATATGAGGCTTGTCCGACCGAAAACACATGCCAAAAAAATCTGTGCTCAATAACCGATGCATAATCCGAATGATGCCTATAAACTGCATTTTTGAAAGTCGGAGAAAAATCAACAAAGTAACCAACCCAACCAAAGAACCAGCTGATCCACCACCGGTTTTAAAGATTTTGACAATTGCTTTTTGGCTTTTTTTTTTTTTGGGTAACTTACACAAATACCCTTAAAATTAAGGGTCTTTTGAAAAATCATATGAAAAAATTTTTGGAAGTAAAAAATACTGTATAATATCAAAAAGTGACACAATGTCACTTTTTGATAAAAAAAAAAAAAGTTATACAATGCCACTTTTAAAAGTTAAGTGTAACTTTTTTTTATTAAAAAATGACATATATTGTCACTTTTATTAAAAATTGATGTTTGTCAATAAAAAAAAAGTAATAGAAATCAAGAGGGTGGCTGAAAAAAGTGACAAAAATTCAAAAAAAAGTGATAAATATTAAAAAAGTGACAAAAATTCAAAAAAGCGATAGAAATTTTAAGAAAGTGAAGGAAAATAAAAAAAAAAAAGAAGAAATAAAAAATGTTATGTAAAATTAAGTGACTCAATGTCACATTTTTCAAGTTTAGTGTCGTTTTTTATTATAAAATAAAAATTTGTTGTTCGTTACTCAAAAAAGTGAAATAAATTTTAAGAAAGTGACAGAAAATAAAAAAAATGATAAACACTAAAAAAGTGACAAAAATTCAAAAAAAATGACGAATATTAAAACGTGACAGAAATTCAAAAAAGTGACACAATCTACCAACTCGAGAAAATTATCAAATATTAATCAGACCACAATGACTCTAATTGAACATAATCTACCCACTAAATACTAAACATTAATTTTTAAAGTTCAACATCAGTTTTTTATTAAAAAGTGACATACAATGTTACTTTTATTAAAAATTAATGTTTGTCACTAAAAAAAAAAAGTAACAGAAATTTAAAAAAAAAAGTAACATCAAATAAAAAGAAAATATGACAAACACTCAAAAATGACAGAAATTAAAAAAAGTGAAACACTAAGAAAAATTAGAAAATTGACAAACACTCAAAAATTAACGCTAAAAAATGTGTCACTCTTTTTATGGTCAAGTATTAACTAGACCAAAATAGCTTCAAAATCTCTCGATTACCAAAACTCGTCTACAAACGTTAATCTACTAGAAATCACAATTGATATATGCTCATATTCTGAAATAAATAATGCATCAAGTTCATTCAATTTTTTTTAGTTAGTCTATAATAGCTTTACAACTGATTAACTATTTTGAAACTACAAACTTATTCCTCTTCATCTACTTCCTCTAGCCATTTTACAAAGGACTCTGATGCCGTCACAAAGCTCTGCCTGTGTAGCAATGCAAAATAAAAATAATTGGGTCAAGTCACATCAAAATTAACACACACAAGATGGAGAGAGAAGAGAACAATATCAAAACCACGAAAAATAATAAGTTACATACTTGTCCTTTGGGTCTATTCCTTTACGAAACCAGTTAAGAATGGTCTCTTCTGCAAGTAGATCCTGATCATAAAGTGACCTTATAATTTCTAGGAAACCACGAATCAAAACCAACATAATCTCATGCACCATGCGAATAATCTCTACACAATTGCACCAAAATATAATATAGAATTATGCTTTTGGAACTCATGTCTACTACCCAAAAAGTGAAAAAAAAGTCATCACAAATTATCACAAAAGAGACCACTGCGCTCGTTCACTTAACATCAATTAAAAGCTTCAGTGTAATTTAACTCACCAATTACCATTCTTCAAACTGTCATATGCCTCATCCTCATAGAGGTCTGATACTGTTATCAAGATTTTCCTTTTGCCTCTTCATCTCATAGCTCTCTCGTTTGTTTTTATGTTCTTTCATCTCAACCCAGTGTTGTTCATTGTCGATTATTTTGCAAATCCTTTTTCAAAGAATGAGAAGTCTGAACTTCCATCAACAATACCATGTAAAACCACTAACATGATCCATGTCCCCCCACCAAATTTATCAACAATGGACAACACCTATCACCATAAGAAATAGAAAAACAAAATTTTCTCTATTTATTATCGATCTAGTGAGCAAAAACACAAGGCACACCGCAAACACACTCAAGATGAATATAGAGAAACTAAAATCACAAATACCTAACCACTTGAAAACAACAAACAAGCTCACCAGAATAGGACAAAGGCAAACAACAAAAACCCAAATGATAATAAACAAACAACTCATATATCTACAAAAAATATTTAAAAACATGTAAATAAGTTCGCACTAACACATAACACAACAATACAAAAAACATCAAAATAAAAAAAATAAAAATAAAAAACTACACATCATAATTCATATGAATAAATCATTATACTTGAGAGAGATGACTCATATGAATCTTGATGATCCTCCACCAATTCCCCCAATTTTTTTTGCTGCTGTATCTAAAAAGAAAATGTCGGCATATTCTAGGGCGTCATCAGTGTAGTCATCGCCATGGTCATCATTCTTCTCCCATGAGAAGCGAGCGATGTGACTAGATTTCATCGTCTCCTCCATAGATCACAACCAATTGGTATTATTTTAGGGAGGAGAGAAGTATACAGATATAAAAGAGAGAGAGAAATAGGAAATAAGAGCATTAGGGTTTAGTCTTAAAATTATTGAAAAATACAGTATTTTATACTTTGTAATTACTTTTCACATGATTTTTCAAAAGTGCCTCATTTTTAGGGTATATAGTCTAATTTCCTATTCTCTCTTTTTTTTTTTTTTTGTCAAAACTCGAATCAAACTTATCATTTAGGCCCATGTTTTAAACATTAAGGCCCAAGTAGTGTGCTCTTTTAATAGTGTGATGCCCTTTTTATATGTTATATTTTTCGAATTTTTGTTGTTGAGAATCGACGGGCATAGGGGACTGGACACGTTACTTTTTGAAAAGCAAAAGGGATAGTGTGTAGTATTATTACTGTACACGTGGGAATTGGGATAGACTTTTTTTTTCCTTCCCAAATTTGAATTATTTCGTTCTAAATTTCTTTATTTTCTTATTTATTTATTTTAATAATAAATAAAATACAATAAAAATATTTAACCGACTAACTATTAATACATTTGTCTATATTTCTTATCTTATTTTCTATTGGTATTAGAAATGGGCCTAATAAAAATCAATTGCTTTCATATTTATTAACTGATTATTACTCGTGTTAAGTCATTTTGTAAAAATAATATATTTTTGCCAATTTTTTTGATATATTTATACATTAATCATTTTATTTATTATTAGCGTTTCGACCCCAATTCAACATTTCGACCCTTAACCCTGTAACTTTTTCAGGTTTATGACCGGGTCGGTTTTAAAAATATTGCCTAATACAGATTCTCAATGGCTTAGTTGACGTTGCTTCTATGGATTAGAAGACATCAACTTGAAACCACAAGCACTCTTCTCTCTTTTAGAATCGCAAAGTTTCAAAGTATCGCTCAAAAAAACCACAAGAAATCTTCCAACGACAGGTTGAAGATTATCGCAGAAGAAAAGAAGAAAACGGACTCAGAGAAAATTCTAGAAGCCTAAAAAAATCGGACAGCACAACTTAACTAGCGCAAAAACATAAGGCCCTATTTATACTCTAATCTCTCTCTGTTAACAACAGATGATGATCAACGGTCCAGAACAAGGCTATTTCAAAATTAAGTGACAACTAGGGTTGCTTTTCCAAAAATGTGACTTTATCATATATTGGGTCCCGGTTGGACTTTATCTAATTTAAAATAGAGGAAATTACATCTACACTTGGTTTTAAAATACCATTTTCATAAATCAGGTATCTAGTTTCATAATACAAAAATCAGGTTTTAATTAAAGATTTAAAAAATATATATATTTTTATTTTTATTTCTACCTACACTATCTAAACCCTAAACTAATCCATATCATCTCCACTCTCTCACCGCCTCTCCACATACAGCGAGCAACCACTGTCGATCCTTCTATATTCTCTTTGTCTCTCCAACTTCTCTCTTCTCCACTTTACTTCCTCTTCGCCAGCAGCCTAGTCTCTACGAGACAGCGTAGCCTCGTCCGGCGACTTTGTGCAGATCCAGTGGTCTTGGTGCAGATCCGTTCTTCTTCTTTTTAAAAATTTTTTTTGATTGATGTGGTGGAGGTGTGTCGTGCGGTGTTGGTGGAGGTGTAAGCGTCGCTGCTTCGACGCGAAGTGTGAACGTGTGTGTGCTCTGTATGTGCGCGCGCACAGTAGTGTGGCTGCGATCGCGGTGCTGTGGGTGAATGAACTGCGAACGGGTGCGTGCGTGCGTGCGACGGTTGCAGTGCTTTGTGTGGTGTCGTAACGATGCTCATGGGTGGGATGAGATGGACGTGGGTCTCTGTGACCAATTATTTGGTTGATTGTGACCAATAATTAGTTAATTTTTGACAAATTAATAATGTGTGACCTAAAAATTGTAATTGTGATTCATATTTTATTAAGTTATAATCGAATTGTGACCAATAAAAGTAATCGGTAACCTATAGTTTGATGTTTTACGATCATAAAATAAGTTGTGTGATTTATAAATTTTGTGATTTGTGATCGATGAATAAATTGTGACTTTTAAATTTTTAATTTGTGACCGATAAAATGAACTGTGACCTATAAATTTTTTGAATTGTGACCTTAAAATTTTTTAATTGTGACCAAATTATATAGATCTGTGATCTTTATATATTTATTAATTAAATTATAAATAAATTTTAATGAAAACCTGATTTTTGAAAATTTTCCCTTTAAAATATTAGGCAATGGATTTAAACAATTCGGCCAAGCCCAATTTCATCATCCCCCAATCATATGGACTGGATTGGCATTACAAATTACAATCCATCATTTTAGAAGCTAGATTCTTTATTTTATTTTATTTTTAAAAAAGATTAAGGGTCTTTGTGACAATTTTTTTTATAAAAACAAATATTGATAAATGTTAATAAAATGTGTGGTTAAAAATAAAAATTGAAGATGTGCGACTTGAAAAATTGATAAAAGTTCTGCTAGTTAAACTCTACAGTATATCGAATTTGCATCACTTGATTACAAAGATATCACCAGCTGTACTGTGGAGCCAATGCAAGCGCCGACTAACTTTTAAAAGTTAAACCCAAAAAGAATTTGCATTTATTCCACCATATCCACTCGGGATTTGAAGAGTATATAGATTAGGAACTTTTTGCTCTTGTTTTCCATATTCCCTGAAACGAATTCTTGATTTGCTGAAAAGTTACGATTTGATAATCCTAAGTGACACTTCAAAGAAAATGCATGTATCTATCCATTAGTACAAGATATTGCATTCTTGTTTTACAATGTTTTGTGGGCTAATTGGGTTTGCATATAAGCTTGTGAAATTCGAGTTTTGTCGAATAGAGAGATAATGCTGTTGCTTAGACCTCTTTTATTTAAATAAGGATTATAATTTTGTTTTTGTTTTATGAATAGAGAGGCTGAGGTGAGTTAAAGTGGATACTATATTCAGTTCAGTAAAAGTTCATTGGTTGCTTATAATTTTGTCTTTGAATTCACCATTTTCACTTTTTTCTTTCAATTTCACTTTCAATTATCGAGTTTCACCTGACAAATGAAATTTATAAGAGATTATGCTATAATTAATAAAAAAAAAATCCTAAATGTTTATATTTCAAGGCCCAGAAGCTAGATTCTTTCTTAAGATTGAGGGTTTTTGTGACCAATTTTTTTATAAAATTTTAATAGATTTTCATAAAAGTTAATAAAATATGCAGTTGAAAATAAAAGTTTAATATTCCATAAATGTGGAACTAAAATTAAAGTTTGATGACCTTAAAATTTGATAAAATTTTAGCTCTTATATATAGGCAAACATATAGAGCTACTTAAGGAATTTGAATTTATTCCATTACTTATCCACTCGGGATTTGAAAAATATATATAGAATTGGAACTTTTTGCTCTTATTTTCCATATTCCCTGAAGGATTCTTAATTTGCTGAAAAGGGTACGATTTGAATAATCCTAACTTGATATTTTTTTAAAGACATACAAAAACAGACCCTTCAATGAAAATGCATGTATCTATCAATTAGTTCAAGATATTGCATTCTTGTTTTGTGGGCTAATTAGGTTTGCATATAAGCTTGCGATCGAGTTTTGCTGAATAGAGAGATAATGCTATTGCTTAGATCTCTTTTATTTGGATAAGGATTATAATTTTGTTTTTGTTTTATGAATAGAGAGGCTGACGTTACTATATGGAGTTCAGTAAGTTCAGTGGTTGCTTATTATGAATGGGGTTATGATTTTTTTTTTAAATTTTTTTTGGGCTTTATATGATTGGATTTGTCTTGGTTGACAAGGATATAGTTGTTTTAGATCTTTCCACATATTTAGAAATGAATCAAAGAAAGTGACAAAATTTCTTCATGTAGCCGATTTAGGAAAACAAGGTTTAGTTCGTTTTTGTTGTTTACCATAGGTGATTGAAATACTTTACACTGTATCTCATTTTTGGAGATGAGAGAACCATAATTTGTTGAAACTTGCAAACAAACCAACAGAATTAAGAAGGGACTAGAAGGTTGCAGCCACAAGAAATGCATTGGAGTGGAAACTGCTGGTGCACATGCTGAGAAGTTAGGATAGATTCCAAATTTGTTATTTAGTGTAATGATTAGTGTGCAATAGAATTGTGACACCTGTACAAATTTGTTACATTGTATAGTGTATATATATGTAGTTGTACTCTCAAAACGAATTAAGAAGTTCAGAATTATTTCAGCTTCATTCATCCAACCTGAGTTCTATTTTTCTTCCCTTTATCTTCTTCATCTTATTAGCAACATTAATCTGATATTTCTTATTTGGTATCAGAGCACTAATGGCTGAAAATGAAGAAAACAACAGTAGTTCTAACATAAATCAAAATCAAACACCATTTCAAAACTTAAGCTCAAATCCGATTCAAAATTCACAGGATCCGTTTCTGCGAAACAGTCCATATTTCATAGGAATTAATGAGAATTTTGGAGCGTTACTAGTCACTCAAATGTTGGATTCTACCAACTATCATTCTTGGGCAAGATCCATGAAAAGGGCTCTTAGAATCAAGAATAAATTGGGTTTTATTGATGAGAGCATTTCTGAACCAACTGATGTTGATAGTCCTTTAATAGAGCATTGGCTTCGTTGTAACAATATCGTCATCACCTGGCTGCAAAACACAATGACATAGACATCAAGGAAAGCACTCTATATGCAGAAACGGCACAGTAGTTGTGGCTAGAACTAGAGCAATGTTTGGCTCAGCAAAATGCCCTAAGAATTTTTGAGGTCAAGCAAGGTCAAGATACTGTGACTTCTTACTTTTCAAAACTGAAAACGTTGCTGGATGAACTGATGAATTATGAGTGTGTTCCCAAATGCACTTGTGGATGACTGAAGATAGTAGTTAACAACTAAGAAAGAGACTGGGTAATGAAGTTCCTCATGGAACTCAATGACTCTTACAAAAGTCTCAAGGCTC